TGAAGTCCGCTCCAATTGATGCAGGGATCCAGAGTTCAGGGCTCCTTTCCAGCAGTTCGTTCAGAGGGTTTCGAATCAAGTTCTGTGGAAGGCGTCGCATGGGCAGTTCTGCCAAGGGCTCAGGAAATATCGGGGCTCGTTTCCAGGGCCTGATGGGGCCCCGTTCACTTGCTACTCCCTGAGGCGAGCCACGTGGGCAGGTCCTCTTCCAGGCCTGCCGGGCTCTTCTCGCATGGGAGGCAGACGGCGTTCAACGGGTGCCTCGCCGTGTGCCCCCCCCCCAGGAGGATCCCAGAGTGCGCCGATGAGCTGATCGAGAGCCCGTCTGGGACTCGGTCGATATGTCCTGGTAACAGGTAGGACTGATAGCACGATACCGAGTGGTTGGATCAATTGGGGGTTATCCAAGCAAGCATCGATCTCGTGTGCCGAGCCTCCGCGTGGTTCTGTTTCCCGCCGCTATGTGAAGGAGAATGCCCTCGAGGCCAATTCGAAGCTTGCCATGTGGTTCTGCGTCTCGGGTGGGAGGGGCGCTGGGGGCATCCTCCTCGATGTGCGCGCTGCTTTCCCTTCGCTAACCACGGAAGGAGCTGGTGGGTTCTCGAGTCCATTGGTGTCCCGAGCCGTATCTTTAACGCATTGGTGTTTCTGTATCGAGCAGTTCGGGTGACTAGTATCCTGGCAGATGGTCGACTTCCTGGATTGGTCATCTCTTCTGGGATCAAGCAGGACTGTCCCGCTTCGGGGTCGGGCTTCGCCCTCGCCCTCGATCCCGTGGCGCGCGCGGTGGCACGTGCCCCCCCCCGCCCCCGCATCCTGCCTCTGATGCCTCGCGGACGATAGGAACCTGTTCAAGAGTGTGCCTGTCTTGCTCTTAACCGCGCATCAGTGCGGATTGGCGGCGGGCTTATTTTTCCTGAACGCGAACTAAGCTATCATATTTTGCATGACAGAGTATTCCGAGCAGTATATTCGTGGCCGGTTAGAGGAGACGGCACTCGACCTAGGCTGTAGCCAGGTAACACTTGCTAAGTATCTTGGGGCGCATTTGGGACGAGGAGAGGACTCGCTCAGTTGGCAAGACCCGATGATCAATCACGGTAGGCGCGCAATGGAGTTGCGAGGTTTCGGGCTCGGACCCGCGGAACACGTCCTGAGCTACAGCGTCCTCGCATTGTCCGTCGCCCAGTTCGTCGCCGAGTTTTTTGCGCCACCTCTCGCCTTGCACCGTTTGAAAGACGAATGCCTGCTGCTGCTCATGACTTGACCTAGTCACGCCCGTTCCCCGAGCTGTCTTTGTCGATCTAGAGGGTTTGGGCGTCGAGCGGAAGGTGCCCCAGCTCGTGCAATTTTGCATGGCCGAGGGGTATGGGGCAGCTTGGGGGAACAAGCAATTTCTGCAGAAGCTGATTTTGATGAACAACGATGTGATGGAGTTCGACGAGTGTTTGGTCACACATGTTTCATAACCATACTCCACAAGACTAGTCTGTATCAGTTCGATAGGGTCCTGCACCTTTTTGAGTGCGATTCCCGACATCCCCAACGACCCCGAGAAGACAGGCTCCCAGGCTTCTGTGCTGAAAACCATCAAACAACTTGTTCTTGGATCTCGGTGTTGTCGCGCCCGTATTCAGAAGTCAGGCTTCTTTCTCGGTCATCAACTTGCGGGCCAAGGAAATGAGGGTAGGCGCCCGCTCATATTCGGTAAGGTCAGCCAGTATGTGCCGAGTTTTATGTTGTCTAGCGTTCTCAAATCTATGGGTATCGCGCGGTCCACCAACAGCAAGTACGACCAGGGGCCAGCAAGATGTTTATTCGGTTGCGCCAATGCTGTGATGCATTATGCTAGGTGTCCGGTTTCCGATGCTGTAATTAATGAATTGCTTCCGAAGCCCCCGGAGGCATAGAGGTCCTTCCGAGGAGGTCCCGAGCGGTTGTGCCCCCACTTGTTCGCTTGAAATTACCCCAGTGCGACCCTACCTAGAAGTTGGAGCCCCTAGGAAAGCAGCATTCGTTGCTATGCTATGCTATAGTATGCCATGCGATGCTGCGCTATGCTATGCTATGCTATGCTATGCTGCGCTATGCGATGCTAAGCTATGCTATGCTATGTCATGCTGCGCTGTGCTATGCTAAACGTTGCTATGCTATGCTAAACTGCGCTATGGTATGCTATGCTATGCTATGCCATGCTATGCTATGCTATGCTGAGCTATGCTACGCTATGATGTGCTGTGCTCTGCTACGCTTGGGCTCAGCGAAGCTAAGATGAAGGTAAGCTGCGTTAAGATCAACCTGAGTTAAGACGAAGCTAAGCTAAGCTAGGATGAAATAAGCTAGGCTAAGATGATATAAGCAACGCTGGGCTAAGGGGACGTAGCTGGGGGAACCGCGGGGCGGATCCTGGGGAAACCGCCCGGGGCGAAGCCCACTGCCCAGCTCTTTTTTTAAGACTGAGAGTAAGAACCCTTCTAGGCAGAGCCTAGGTAGGGAATGTAGATTCGATCGTAAGGTGTGCAGTTGTTTTCGATTTGCTTTCGCTGGGTAGAATCAGGCTCGTAAGTCAAGGGGGGAACTGAAGGTCCCCTCCCCGCCTTCCTCAAGGCGCGAGCGAAAGTGCTGGCCCAAAGGCACGCTGGGCTGCGTCGTGTTCTGCAGGGAGGATACACGAGGTTGGAATGAACGCATCGCCTCCTCCTCCCCCCTATCTTCCCTTCGTTCCCATCATCCTCCTCCTTCCCCCCTCCTTTTCGTGCTCCTCCTCCTCCTTCTCCTCCTCCTCATCATCATCATCATCATCCCCTCCTCGTCTTCGTCCGTGAGGGCGCGACAGTATTTTCAGAAGAGGGCGACTTGAGGCAACGGTAGTTGGCCTTCGGGGGGGGGGGCCATCGCCACCACGGCTGGGCGCAGGTCGGAGAATCGGTGCGCTTGGACTCCGGGAAGGGGTGGGTCTGGCGACCGATTTTGAGTTGCCGTTGTGTCAATTCGCCCTGCTCCGACTATCCGATTCGTGATGTCTTAATTCGCCCCACCAGGTCCCCCCCCAAGGTGGGGACAGGGCAGGCACCGCAAAACATGGAGGGAGCAGCACGTATCCCAACCTAGGGGCGCAGGCCAGCCAGTGGAGCCAAGACCATGCCCGTGGGCATGAGGATCGGTTCAAAGATGCTCAAGTGTTGGGGAAGGAACGGTGGGCTTTGCGTTCCGTCACGTGCTCTGTGTATGCACGCGTTCTTGGTCATGCATGGGACACCGAGCATCGCACCTCGCAGCATCCGTCTTCTTGGCCGCCTTGCGGGGGGGGGGGAAAGGAAAACACCACGATGGTATTCTACTGTTTCTTGATGACACTTCGAGGGAGCGTTGAAGTGCCCACGTCGCGCCAGCGCCGCCTGCTCCCAGCAGTTTTTGATACGTGGGGGCGGATGGGAACGAAACGGAACGATACGCAGGCTGACGACGGCGAGGCCAAAGCAGGCGGGTCGACGCAGGCGGGCAGGGGCACAGGGGAGACTGCTCAGATTCTGTTGTAGTAGAACCGTGATGAACGATCTCAGCAACAAGATGCGAGGAGAACTGCAGGGCCGATGGGGTGAGCGGCCACGGTCATTCGGCGCAGGCCGCAGGCCCTTCTCCCCCCCCCCTGGAGGCGCCACTCGCGCGTACGCTCGTGCGGTCCTCTTCGGGTCGGGGCGCGACGGCGGTGGAGTGGCGCAGGTCTGCCTCTCACTCATGCGGTTCTAGAAGGTCGTTCTTGACTTCGGCGGTGGTGCCTCCCCACCGCAGTGCTCCGAGGCGATGGCCTCCAGCGCGGAGCCCGAGGAGTGGAGTCCCTCTCGTAATTGGACCTGCCTGGGCCCCGTTCCAGATCCATCTGATCCTTCTCGTCCTCTCCCTCCACGCCCACGTCGCGAAGAGCACGTGGCGTCGGAGGTGCGGCAGTGCCTTACAGCGCCTGGGAGCTGATCGAGGTCCACCTCGTCGTTTTCCCCTCCGAGTCCCTCGTCCGCATGTTCCATCCACCCTTTCTCCTCTGCCCGCCATTCCTAATGTTTCCCGCTGTGATTTCTTCTCCTTCCTCATTGCTTCTCCGTTTTACTCCTTCTCCTCCTCCTCCTCCGTCTCCTCCTCCTCCGTCTCCTCCTCCTCCTCCTCCTCCTCCTCCTCCTCCTCCTCCTCCTCCTCCTCCTCCTCCATTCCTCCTCCTTATACATAACTTCTCCCTGTCGCACCTCGAGGCCAGTTTTAGGGCGGGCCGGGCATTTCGCTTGAGATTTCCTCACCACTTATGACCCTGAAGTTTGCAATGGACAACAGTTTCACAGATGGAGGGCAGGTGGTTTTCAAAATGTGGCTCTCGCAGCGCCGCGCACAATCATTTTACACATTCGCAAGAATTCCACGGATTGAGAGCAAACCATTTTCAACATGTGGCTCTCGCCTTAGCGCCGCGCACAGTTCGTTGTAAATCATCAGAAGAGTTCCACGGGTTAAAGGCGACTGGTTTTCAAAATGTGGCTCTCGGCATAGCGGCGTCCTCCTCCTCCTCCTCCTTTTCCTCCTCCTCCTCCTCCTCCTCCTCCTCCTCCTCCTCCTCCTCCTCCTCCTCCTCCCCCCCCACCTTTCAGTCAGCATCCACTTCGACCTCCTCCGGTTCAAACTCCCCATCTCCTGCTCCCACTACTCCTGCTGCTTCACCTTCTGCTTCGGCTTATTCATCACTTCTCCTCGTTCGCCTCCTCATCCTCCTCTTCTCCCTCCTCTTCGTCTTCCCTTCCCGATTCCTTATTCCCCCGTTCCTCCACCTCCTTTCTCTCCTTCACTTCTCCTCTTCCTCCCACACTCGCATCATCCTATTCCTTCTGCTTCTCCTTCCCCGCCTCTTCTACTTTGAGCGTTTCTCCATCCATCTCGTTTTCTCTCCCCAAAGACCTCTTCCGCTTCGTCGTCCGCCTCTGGCCCCTTTCCCCCCTCCGCTCGCAAGAGCCTCCCAGGAACTGGCGGCGGACCCCTCGTGCTGGGACGTGACGGAGGACGACGCGGGTCGCTGCTGTCGCGGTCTTCATCGCAGCAGCCGCCGTCGTCGTCGTGGTCGTCATCGTCGTTGTCGTCGTCGTCGTTGTCGTCGTGGTCTTCGTTATCGTCGTTGCTGTCGCTGTCGCCGTCGTCTGTGGTGTTGTCGCCGCCATCTCTGTCGTCGGCGTCGCCGCCGTCGCCGCCGCAGCTGCGCGGCAGTCGTCGTCGCCGCGACCGAGGACAACGTGGGGAGCCGCCTGCTGGGCCTGGCCATGGCGCGCATGGACCACGGCGAGGAAAGGAAGGCCGAGCCCTTCGTCGGCCGTCGTTGTTTGCCATAGGTCGTCGCTGGTCGTCGTCGTTGGTCGTCCTGTTGGTTGCTGGTCCTCGCTTTCGTCGTCTGTCTTCGGGCGTCGCCGTCGTCGGAAGGGTGGGAGGGGGACGAACAGGAGGGTGAAGGAAGAGGCAGGGGGAGGGGAAGGCGGAGGACGAGCAGGGGGAGGGACGAGGAGGAAGAGGAAGACGAGGAGGAGGCAGAGGAGGATAAACGGAGGAGCAGGAGAATGCGTATAAAGGAGGGGCAGGATTGGGATAGGGATTAGGCTTCCACGGCGAAGAAGAGGAGTGGTGCTGGAGGAGGATGCGGAGGGAGGAGATGGAGGAGACAGAGGGGGAGGAGGAGGAGGAGGAGGAGGAGGAGGAGAGGAGGAGGGAGGAGGAGGAGGAGGAGGAGAAGGGAGGAGGATGAGAGGGAGGAGGAGGAGGGAGTGCCCTCCAGCCTCCTCTGACCTCCCCTCCTCAGCCTCCTCCTCCTCCTCCTCCTCCTCCTCCTCCTCCTCCTCCTCCTCCCCTCTGCCTCCTCCTCCTCCTCCTCCTCCTCGTCCTCCTCCTCGTCCTCCTCCTCCTCCCCCTCCTCCTCCTCCTCCTCCTCCTCCTCCTCCTCCTCCTCATCATCATCATCATCATCATCCTTCTCCTTCTCCTCCTTCTCCTCCTCCTTTTCCTCCTCCTCTGGCAGGGCCGACGCCCGCAAACCAATGCCCGGCCGATCCCCCAGGGGAGGTGTCGGCGTCGGCGCTCCGGAGAAGCGCGCGGGGTCCAGCCTCACGACCCAGCAAGAGGGGACCTTTTTGTGAGAAGCCACGACATTTCGGGAGAGAGAGAGAGAGAGAGAGTAGCACTTCGAAGAAGAAAACAATACATAAGCATAAACTGTTGGCCCTCCGCGCGAATATCTTGGATCCGCACTGGGGCCCCCAGCGGCGCCTCGGGCGCCGCCCCTGGCGTCAGAGGCGCGCCAGGGAGGGGGGTCCGGCGCAGATCCAAGAAATCCGCGCGAAGCGTCAGAAGTTTATGGTCATGGCGTTTTTTCTTCCAGCAATGACACGCTGCCGTTGGTAGCCAGTCAGCGCCTCACGCCTTCACTTTTTTGTCCGAACGCCCTGTGCTTCTGTTCAACAGCAGCACGCTGATGGGTTCCCCACCGCAGCTTGACGTTGATATTGTGTTTGCTCCCTGAACATTGGCGCGTCCGAGGAAACTGCAGCCGTAAATCGAAACATGACACATGTTTCAAGTTCTCCAGGTGGAGTGTTTGAAGTCCTGCTTAGCAATTTCCTGGTTCAGCGTGCCCTGGCAACCAGATCTTGGGGCCCAGAGATGCTAGGTCCTCAACGTCCTGCGACGGGTTCCAAAGCCAACTATACTGTACCAGCTTGTTGGTCATAGTCCCATGCTCCCGTATTTGTGGTCAGGAACGTTTGCTTAGCGCGTCGCGCTGCTAGTTCTGGTCCACCGCGCTTCGGCGCGAGACGCTGAGCATGTCCCAGTCCCCAGGCATGAGCGCTCCGAGCTCTCTCCAGAGCCGTCCTCATCCTGCTGGCTGCGTCCGCCGTGGTGCTGGACCGGTCGATCGATTCTAACTTGGGTCTCGTTCTTCGGGAGACTCTTCATGGGGGGGGATCCCATGGGGGGATAGGATCCCAGGGGGGGGATCCCATAGGATCCCCTGGGGATCCCCATAGGATCCCCTGGGGATCCCATGGAGAGTCTCCCGAGTTCTTCGCTCGTACCGCGTGTTGCGTGATCCACTGGCAGCTGGAAAAAACAACAGCGCAGAACCTTTGAAGCATCGGGGAGGCACGGGGCTGCGAAGCGCACCTGGGCCGGGCTTTGCGCGCCGGGAGGACTCTTGTCCACCCGGCTGCCCAGCAGCGATGATGCCTCCTGCTCCCATCCCAGACCCCCTCGAGTTGTGACAAAATCACGACGGGAGGTTCTTGACTATTTTTGGCCTCTGGGGGCCCTTACAGGCCCTCGGGACCGTCAAACAACGACTCGGGACGAAAAACCGGTCCCGGGGAGTGGGTCCAGACCGCTGGGGGTCGACGTCATGAAAAAATCATGGCGTCGGGGGTCTGGGATCCCATCTCCCCGACCCCGGCTACGATTCCAGCTCCCGTCTTTCCGACGCCGGTTCACGATCCTGATGATTCATGTTGGCAGGAACGATTGAAGGTCATCTGCAGGTTCCGACTCTGGCTCTTGTTTTCTTTCCGACTCTTTGTCCCTTCCTATCTCTCCGATTCCGGCTCCGACTCCGTTGGGACACGCGCTTTTGTCCAGCACGTGCAGCAACCGGGTCGTAGCCCACCCGCGCTGCCCCCAGGGGGCCTGCTGGCCGACCTGCCGGCGGACTCGGCGCGCTCCGGCTCCTTTTCTGAGCATCTAGGCTGCGAGCTTGCACTGTCGGGTTCGCTGATTCCTCCTGGGCAGAGTCGCCGCAAGACGGCCCCAGCAGCGTGCGCGCCGCTTGCGATGAAACTCTGTGGGTCCCAGCCGGTCGATTGATAGCTTCAAGTGCTGGCTGTTCACGACCCTCGTGATATCCAAGTTGTGATTTGGTTTGCACATGTTTGTGCCCACCGCTCCGTTGCTCTCCTCAGCGATGTGCATCTTTGCGGCTACTGCAGGATGCTTGGTGTCCCTCGCTTCGGCCCTGGCGCCGGGAGTGACCTCTACTTCCGCACTCTGCACCGCATCCCTTTCATGGATTGTGTGCTGGCGCGTGCCAGGCTTACCTACTTATTGTCCGTGCTCGCCCTCCATCGTTGTCAGCTGTGCTGCGGCGGAGGTCAGAGCGCAACGGTGCAGCCCAGCTTTCGGCGTGGCTCTGGCAGGTGACCCATGACCAGGGACGACTCCACCAGAGTGTCGCGCTGTGTCCTAATTTGCCAGATCCCGAAGGGGATCTGGAATTTTGGTGCCAGTTCATCTGTGATGAGCCGCTCAAGTGGAAACAATGTGTGGCCCTCCTCCACGTTGAGGGAGTACGTGTGTAGACCATTCGCCTGCGCGGATTGCTCGGTGGCGTTTGCCTCCGAGCGCCAGCTGGCACAGCATAGATGCATCACGCAAGGTGTGCAATGCGAGCAGCGTTTCTTCGCGCCTGCGTCGGCTGCGTGCATGGCGTGTGGCACGACCTTCGGTTCTCGCCTTGGTCTTATCGCCCACTTGTCCGATAAAAGGCGGACGAAGTGCTGGCACGCCAGGTTGCAGGAGCCTGCAAAGTACCCGAGGGGGTTTAGGGTTTACGGTTTCTGGTTGCGGCTAGGCTCTACAGACAGTAGTATGTGGCATGCTAAATGGACCGACCTGCGTGTGGCAAGGTGAGTAGATGCCTGGTAGTGGTGAGTTCGAAGTTGTGCAGTCGGCGGCACTCCGGGGTAATTCGGCTTGAGGGTCGTATTTTCGGTAGGCGCACAGTTTCAGTCCCATCTGTTCTATCATGCATGAGTGGTTGAGGTATGCGGCATCTTTCAGGATGTGTCGCACGTGCATGTGTGACCGTTGTGTTTCCCATACGTACTGTTACACTTCGACCGTCACCATACATGTCTGTCAAACGCGCGCTGATCACATGAAAACACATTGCGCACACGCATATGGATGTTGCGGTATGCGAAGGAACACATGGGCCATGCTGGTTTGTTTACATCTAGAGTTGCTAGAGTTGGCAAGGTGTCCAAACCTGTCTGTGCGTATCGAGAGGACCCTAGCGGTGGGCGAGACACACAGGGACCATTGACATCATCCTTGTTCCGTGTCTTGGCGAAGGATGCTAACGCACCGAACATCCTTTGCCAGTGGCGCAGCGAAGGTTTCGCGTTCAATGGCGCGACCTACGCTCTGCAGAACGGTAATCGTTGTCATTTCTGGCAACACTTGCTTTTGGGCGTCGTTCCCCACCAGTGGTGGTGTCCCTTTTTCGGCGGCGCCAATCATGGAGGAGGAGCGAGGGGCGAGCAGATCGTTCCGATGTTTGGGGGTAGGGGGGTTTTCGGAGATCCCAGTTGGCGTTCGACTGAGTTGTTGGAATGCTTCTGAATGTGCGGTGGTGGTTGGATGGCTTTCGCATATTATCCCTCGCTTTCGGAGATTTCCGGGGGATTTTCATTGACGGGTGCCCTTGCCCCATCATTCCAGGCTTGCAGCGAAACCACAGCGGATCTTTTGCTGCGCGACGTGTTCTTTCAGTGGGGCGCCGATCGGGCCCCAGGGCTCCCAAAGCACGGACCGCGACAGCGACCGATCCCAGCGATGATGGAGTCGATTGAGAGCTCCTGGGCCCAAAGCGTGAAACAAGAATCGCGACGTGGGAGGACTGCGTGCCCCGCCGGTGGAGGGGGCTTCGCCGCCCGGCGCATCGTCGCGGGGGCCCGTGCTCCAGGCCACCCGCAGGGGCGAGAAGAGAGGCTCCAGTCCGCGACGTGTGCCAGAGGAAGCTGTCCTCTGGGCTGCCTGCGCGACGCCGCGGAGGTGGCCACGCCTCTCGCTTGCGCGGGGCGCGAGGCCTGGCCGCTCGAGAGCCGTAGCGCCTCCGGCCCCCCCCCCCCCCACACCTGGAAGGCCGTGGAGGATTTGCAGGAGGCGCTGAAGATCCACAGGGGCACCGGCAATTGGCAGGCGCTCGCGCGCCTGGGCTTCGTGCTGGTCACGCGCCTCGAGGCCAGCATGGAGGCGACGATCGGCTGCAAGCGAAGGCTCAAGACAAGTCTCCCGCTGGGGGGCTGCGAGGCGGTAGACCTGGAGGGTTTCTCCGAAGGGCTTAGGCGACCCCTCCTCCTCCTCCTCCTCCTCCTCCTCCTCCTCCTACTCCTCCTTCTCGGATCGCCTACGGCCCCGGGGAAACCGTGCAGGTAGATCCCAGGTAGTCCCGGCTGGCTTCCGCAGGCCCCCCGAGCAGTGCGGGGCGGTCTCAGCCTTCAAGCCCTGGAGCTCGGACCGCCCCTGGTGTGCCGCCCGAGGCGGCGCCACGGTGTTGAGTCCGCCCCGGTCTACTCGGCGGGGCGCGTTGGGGCCAGTTGGGACTACCTTTTAAGTGGGGCAGGCCCGACTTAAGACCACCTGGGGGGGCTGTCGTGAGTCGAAGGAGGACAACACGGCATAAACATAAAGCCATGGCGCTCTGCGCGGATTTCTCGGATCCGCGCCTGGCCCCCCTGGCGGCGCTTCCAGCGCCGCCCCTGGCGCGCTCCGCGCGCCAGGAAGTGGGGTCCAGCGCGGATCCAAGAGATCCGCGCGGAGCGCCAAAAGTTGATGTTTATGGCGTTGCTTTATTTCTTCTTCTATACCTGGGGGGCTGTCTTCAGGAGGGAACACTGTTTACGTCGGCGGCGAGGCAGAGGTAAAGTGCACCAGCGGTCCAGCACATCGGGGCGACCGAGGAGCGAATTGCTCGGCATGCAAGAGGAGAGACTGAGACAGACAGAGCGGCCGCGGAGGCGGGGGAGGAGGAGGAGGAGGGGGGCACCCAGAGGTGGAATACTTCCATCCTGAGCGCGCTGGTACGGCCAGCGTCGGCAGCGGGGACCATAACAGCAGCCGGCAGCCGGGCCGCGGCGTCGGTGCATCCACGGGCGCTGCCGAAGCCCAGTATGCGGAAAGCAAGGGTACGCACAGCTGAGCCGTCCAGGTGTGGACCGACTAAGTACTGCAAGTGGGCAAAACCGCACAGCGGAGGCGCCCAGGTGGGCCGACTAGGTACTGCAAGGGACGAAAAGCAATCTAGGTTTCAGGCTGCCACCCGCAAAATGCTGCGCCCGCTGGGTGCAGGGCGAGGGCTGCGACGAAACGCAGAGCCCAGGAACACCACCGCCAGGGCGTCGCTGCCAGCCGCGGGTGCAGCGTCGGCGCCATGGCGGCGCGCGGAGGGAGGGAGGGAAAAGGCGCAGGGGCGGGGAGGGAGGGACAGGGAGGAGAAGCGCCCCGCCTGCGAGGAAGCCCCAGCAGGCGGGGCGACGGCACCAGGCGGCCCGGCACCAGCGCCGCGGCTGCCCGGCGGGCGGCCGCTACGGCCAGGCGCGTCGCTCGCCACGCCGGGGGCCAAATTGTGGCCAGAGTCTGAGCGGCGGAAGGAGACAAAACTGTGGCCGAAGGCCGTGAGAGGCAACGCGCTGTTTGGGTGGCCAGTGCATGGCCGAACTGAGTCACCGAATCGGCGCAGTTACCTGTATCAAGACTGTGACCGAGCCACACACACAGACATAAAGAATGGTCGATCCCCCGGGCAACACGGCAAACCTGGAAATTGCAGTGGAAGACGACCATCCACAACGTATAAGAAAATTCTCGGGACCGGCTGGGAGTTCAAGCAGGGCGTTGCGCGATGTGTGGACCGCCGCCGGAACGATCTCCAGGGTTACCCTGCGGCTCCAATTTCTCGATCTGAAACCCTCTTAGCTCTCTACGAGCTGTCTGGGAATGCCAGGTCGCTAGGAATCACGCTAGGACAATGGGGAATCTGGGGATTTGTGCCTATTTACTTGTGTGTCCCTGGGCCCCTCCACGTCTGTGCGCAGCCCGAAGCCTTCCCATCGCGAGGGTGACCGTGCTGCGCGCCTGGCGGCCTGGGCCGGAGAGTTATCCCCCTGCAGAAATAATTGTAAAGAATAGTTCGGGGACGATGTGTTGAAAAGTTGTTTGTTATGTTGGGGTCATAATTTCCGTCCAAAATCCCCCTGTAGGAGGGCAGGCCCGACTCTGGCTATGGTGCGAGGAGAGCACCGCGCAGCGCGCAGCGCAACGGGAAAGTGGGGCGACCTGGGGGTGCGTTTTTTTTCAGGAGGGGGACAATCACACAGACGCACATAATCGTCGATTCTCAGGAAAATGCGACAAGTATGGGAAGCGGATGGGAAGACGAACGTCCAGAACATATTGAAAAGATGGTGGATCTTGATATTTGTGCCTAATTATTTGTGTGTGTCCCTGGGCCCCTTGATTCTAGGCCGGTCATCCCTCCAATCAGGATCACCCCCTCGTCTCTGAGAAGGTGCTTGGGGGGGCATATGGATGTCATGAGCGGGCCCTGGCTGTTTTCTTGTAAGTGTTTTCCCTAAGCCCCAGCCTCTTTTTGCTCGCCCCAGAAGAAGAAGAAGGGGGCCGCGACCACCACGGAGTCGATGGCCATGCAGGCGGTGGACAAGTTCTCCGAGGACTGGGGGGCGTAACGGAGTGCCAGGCATATAGACTTCTCGTGCCGTTTTGATTTCTGGGTAGGGTGGGGCCCAGGCCCTGCCTTCGAGTTGTCGAGGCATCGAGATCTAGCCCTCGGTTGAAACCCGCGGGATACCAGCGGAAGGTGGGTGAATCAAACAGAGAGTGTGTCCTCCAGCTGGCGGAAGTTACAGATCCCCCCCTCAGGTTCTTTATTGTTGTGATTTGTAGTTTCCCGAGCGTGTCTCCTGAGCGAAACAGGCGCCCAGCGGATGCCAATCGATTTGAAATGTGGCGCGTCCAGGCTCAGTTGTGGTTGTCAAAAGTGCATGCGAATAGCAAACAAAACAAACGGGTCAGACCGCGAGGTCATTGGTGCGCAAGCTACTTGCGGAACATCTTGCGCGCGGGCGTCAATAGCCTCTCCGCCGTTTGCTGCGTTGGCGGTCTTAAATCATCGCACTAGGACGCTGTGTCGTTCCGCGTAAGGTCCACTGTGTATTCCCAAACCTTCGACGTTGTTTTTCTCAGCACGTGGTCCCCAGAAGGTAGCAGCCCCTTCCCTGGTACTGTCTTCTCATCCCTAGTTCTCTTTGGCGTCCCTGGGCCAAGTAAGGCCCCCTAGAAGCCCAGAATGATCGAACGCCTTCCGTCGCGATGTTTGCATGACTCGATGTTCGATCATGAGCCCGCTGTTAGACTCGACCATCCAGCTTTCGCCGCGAAAGACTGCCCGTCACCGCCGAAGACCACCGATTGAGCTTGCCACCGACCGCCGTATACCTCCAAAGACCGCCGGTTACCGCCGAGAGACCGCCGATCTCCGCCGATGGCTGATGGGTAACGAACGGTCCATGGTCGAAGTCGCAGGCATGACGCGAGGGGAGTCTTGGCTCGTCGCTCGAACGTCGTCCTTCCAGCGGCGTCGGAGGAAGCGGTCGAGGAGGCCGCCGCGGTGCTCAAGGCTTCGGGCACGAAGAGCCTGGAGGTGTACGACGGCACGCCGCTGGCACAGCTCCTCTACTGCCTGTCGGTCTTCAGGAACGACAGGCGGTACTCCCTCCACGCCCTCAACAGGACGCGCAGCTCGGCCTCGAGCTTCGCCCGCACCTTCCGCCCCCCCTTCTCCGCCCGCCACTGCCGCTCGGGCTCCCCATCACTCCTCAACTGTCCTCTACCGTCCCCCTGCTTCTTCCCCCTCCTCCTCCTCTTCCTCCTCCTCCTCCTCCTCCTCCTCCTCGTTCTCCTCTCCACCCCTCCTCCTCCTCCTCCTCCTCCTTCTCCTCCTCCTCCTCCTCCTCCTCGTCATCCTCCTCCTCCTCCTCCTCCTCCTCCTCCACCTCCTCCTCGTCTTCCTCTCTACCCTCGCGCCTCCCTACTCCTCCACCGCAGATTGCTCCCCCTCCCTCCCCCCTCTCCCTCCTCCCTCCCTTACCCTGCTCCCTCTTTCCCCTCATCTCTTATCTTCCTCTGTTACTCCCTGCTTTTCCTCCCCCCTCCCCCCTCACCCCCCCTGCGTGCTCCGCCTCCTTTGCAGCGGACATGTAACCACTGCAACAGCGACAGCAGAAGACCAGATCCCAAGGCGTCGTGAACCAAACGAGAGCGGAGTTGTTGGTTTAGTGTAAGTGGGTGTTTGTATGTGTGTGATCAATGGGATGCCGCTTCTGGGGGCCCAGCCGCCCGCGACCGTCCAGCGCTGCTCGCTCGATTTTCTCCGCCTCGCCGCTGCGCGCGCGCGCGAGGCCGCGACCGCCAAAAAAGTAAGTGTGTGTGTGTGTGCGTGTGTGTGGCCACCCCTGCCGCCGCTGCCCCCCTGCCCGCCGCTCCTCTTCACCTGCCCCGCGTCCTGCGATGCCTCCATGCCGTGGCTGGCTCGCCCCCCACTGCCTGACTTCAACGGCCTTGCGTCCGTCCCCCGCCATGGTCCGGCTTCGACCACGCCACTGCTGCTGCGTGCCACGGTCTGCCGTTCGCGGACCTTCGCTTGTCCCCTCTCACAGCTGCGTGAGTTCTGTCGCGCGCTCCTCCTCCCCTCCTCCTCCTCCTCCTCCTCCTCCTCCTCCTCCTCTCTCCTCCTCCTCCTCCTCCTCCTCCCCCCCTCCTCCTCCTCCTCCTCCTCCTCCTCCTCCCTCCTCCTCCTCCTCCTCCTCCTCCTCCTCCTCCTCCTCCTTCTCCTCCTCCTCCTCCTCCCCATTCCCGACTGCCTGACTGCGCGCGGCGCACGGCCGAGACGCCACAACGTCTCTGGTCCTTGCCTGCCGGCTGGTAGCCTCTTCCTCCGCGTCGCTGTCTTGCACCGCCTGGTTGTTTGCCCTGTCGCCGCCTGCGCGGGGTCTTCCGGTGGTCATATACATACAAGCCGATTTGCATTGAGGGCGGCCCCCTGCTTTCATCCTGCGACCGTACCCCTCAGCGTGTCGGAGAAAACGTTTGTGTGTGTGAGTGTGTGTGTGTGGTGGGGGGACGCTCCTGGACTCTCTCGCCGTTTCACCCTGATGCCTCCTTGGTTGGCCTGCGTTGGCCTGGGTTTCCTCGCGCTACCTTGTTTCTCCATCCTGGTCGGCTGCCGTTGCTGCCTTCCTCTGCGCCTCGGCTCGTCACCGTCGCAGTGTTTCTGCATGTCCCCGCGTCCCCCCTCCCCTGTTCCCCCTCCCCTCGCCCCTCGCGACCGCCCCTTGGCGAGGGTCGCTGTCGATCCCCTATGGCTGGACTCGGCTTCTCCGTGGCTGCGTGAGCTGGCCCGGCTGGCACGCGCCCGCACGATTTGAACTTCCCCGCGCCACCGCGCGCGTGGCAGCGACGCCAATCAGAGTGTATGTGTGTTTGTATGTGTATGTGTAATTTACTGGGGCCCCGTTCGCTGTGCTTGACCTTCTTCACCTTGTCGCTGTTCGCGGGGTCGCGATTGTCAAAAAGTGTGTGTGTGTGTGTGGCTGTGTGGCTGTGTGGGGGAGGTCTGGCCTTGCTCTTTTCCCGCGCGCGCGATCTCCTGTTGGTTCCCGCCATCGGCACACGTTCGGTGGTAATCAGCTTAGCGCATTCCGCTAAAGTCCTCGCTGAGATGGACTGGCAGGCCGCGACGCCAAAAGGTGTGCGTGCGCGCGTGTGTGTGTGTGTGTGTGTGTAGGGGCGTCTGGCCCTCGTCCTGCCTGTCCGCTATGTTTGGTCCTCTGGGGGGGCTTGCCAGGCCCCAGGGCTATCAACGAGCGGCTCAGGATGACGTGCCAGTCCGGGGGCGAATGGGACGAGACCTCCAGGGGAAGGAGGGGCGGCACCACAACCACCAGGGGGGCCAACTCCACCGTGGTGGTGCACGATGTCCCCCTAGCCGGGGGTGGGAGATGTCTTGAGCGAGAGGGGGAGGGGGGGCACACCACCGGGGGGACCTCCCCTGGCTTGATGGTGGTGTCGCTTCTGTTCCCTGCCCCTGATGTCGGGGGTCTGCGTCGTGGCCAGATGTCGGGGGTCTGGGTCTCGGCCGTGCCGCTGCGCCCCGCCCCGCGCCACGCCAGGCGTCAAAGGCTCGACGACCCCTGCCGTCCTTCCGCGGTGGAGCGGCCGCGAGCTGCTCCGACTTTCGCTGGAGACCTCTGGATATACACGGATTTCTTTCGATGTGCCTGGATGTGCCTCTATCTGTCGGCACGTGCCTGGTTTCTGCTGGCTCGACCCCCACACGTCGATTGGCGAAACATCGGCGAGCCCTTAGGGCACCGGCCGGCGCAAGAGGCCTCCTTCCACAGTCGGCCTGCTCGGCCCTCGCGCCCCCCCCTGCCGGCGGAGCGCGTGGCCGTGCGCCGCGGGTCCTCGCCGGCCGCGGTGTGCACGCCAGCGCGGGGGGTCGCACGTCGTGCCCGCCGCCCGCGTCACACCAGAAGGAGGAGCAGGCGGAGGAGGAGGAGGAGGAGGAGGAGGAAGAGGAGGAGGAGACGGAGGAGGAGGAGGAGGAGGAGGAGGAGGAGGAGGAGCAGCAGCAGGAGCAGCAGCAGCAGCAGCAGGAGCAGCAGGAGGCGGAGGAGGAGCAGGAAGAGGCGGAGGAGGAGGAGGCGGAGGAGGCGGCGGATGAGGAGGAGGAGGAGGAGGAGGAGGAGGAGTTCCACGTTCGGCCTGCTCGGCCCTCGCGCCGCCGCTGCTGGCGGAGCGCGTGGTCGTGCGCCGCAGGTCCTCGCCGCCCGCGGTGTGCACACCAGCGCGCGGGGTCGCACGTCGTGCCCGCCGTGAGGAGGCGGAGGAGGAGGAGGCGGAGGAGAAGGAGACGGAGGAGGAGGATGAGGCGGGAGGAGGAGGAGGAGGAGGAGGAGGAGGAGGAGCAGGAAGAGGCGGATGAGGAGAAGGAGGAGGCGGCGGATGATGAGGAGGAGGAGGAGGAGGAGGAGGAGGAGGAGGAGGAGGAGGAGGAGGAGGAGGAGGAGGAGGGGTCGCACGGCGCGCCCGCCGCTCGCCCCCTCCCTGAGAGGCGGGAGCTGCAGCCGTTGCACTCACCGCCCACCAAACCACCCCAACCCACCCCGAAGGCCCACATTCACCATGGAGTTCAAGTGGGTGGGGATCATCGGGGGACATTTGAGAAAAGCACATCTGGAGCCCGCCCCCCCCCCCCCCCAGCCCGAAATGGTCGCGTCTTCGGGTCAGGTTGGGGTGGTCCGGTAGCCAGCACCGCGGGCGCTGCCGTCCGTGCTCGGGCCCAGGACCGTCACAGATGGATCAGGATCGAAGCACGCAGGCCCCCTCGGGCCATGAGAGAATCATGACGGGGAGCTTTTCGCTATGCACGGGGTGTTCTCGGGCCCTCGGGACCGTCACTAGGGGAACGAGCAGTGGCATACACACAATAACCCGGCGGTCCGCGCGGATTTCTCGGGTCGGCGCTGGGGCCCCCGGGCGGCGCCTGGCGCCGCCCCCCGTGGGTGGGGGGGGATCCAGCGCGAATCCAAGAAATCCGCGCGGAGCGCCCAAAAGTTTAATGTTTATGTGGTTCGTTCTTCTAGACGGGCCGTGCGGTGAGCCCTCGGGGATGCCGAGGTCACCGCAGGATCTGTCACCGCACCGTTTTGGGACCCCCAGCTGTCGCTTCTGCGCCCCGCCTTGTCCCGGTGACCGCCGCCTGGTCGATGCCTCTGACTTTGCTTGCCGTCCCTGTCTCACCACACCCTGCAGCTTCTGGCGTGCTGGGCGGGCATCTGCTGGTCGCCATGCGCCTTTTTCGGCTTGCCGTCCAGCGTTTTCTCTTCGTCTAACCCGCTCCCTCCCTGGCCCGTTTGCCTTGCTTGTCTCTGGCCTTCTCACGCCCGCTGCTTCCTGCACGCACCCGCGCCTGTCACAGCCTGGCTGCCGGGAGGTTCGGCGCGCCGCGCACGTCGGTCATCATAGAGGGCCGGAGGGGAGGAGGAGTCAGGGAGCCAGAGACGGGGTAACAGCAGACGGGGTAACAGGACACGGCCGGTTCGAGGCATCGAATGGCCCTTTTTTGCTTTCGCGTTCGATGCAGCACCTTCCACATGCTGGCTGCGTTGCACATTTTCGGCTGCTGCACTGCAGCTTTTTGTTTTGAGCCCTCAGTTACCCGGTCTGTGGGGCTTGTTTGCAGTTCTTCCGCAACTAGTTGCCGACAAATTGCAGTGCATGTTTTTTTGCGTTGCAGAAAAATGCCGTGTATTTTTTTGTTCTGGTCGTTGCAGTTTTTCCACCTGAATCCAATGGTGGGTTTGTTACCCCGCTTAGGCGTTACCCGGTTTAGTGCTCCCTGAAGGAGGAGGAGGAGGAGGAGGAGGAGGAGGAGGAGGAGGAGGAGGAGGAGGAGGAGGCGGAGGAGGAGGAGGAGCAGGAGGACGGGGGGGGATGGAGGGGTAGAAGGGAGGAGGAATGGGAGGAGCGGGAGAAGAGGGTGGATGAAGATAGCGAGGGAGGAGCAGGACGGAGGAGGTGGATGGGAAGATGGAGGAAGCGGCGGAGGAGAAGGAGGAATGCTAAGAAGATGTTGGGCAGGATGGCGATGATGGGGGGGAAGGGAGTGACGGAGAGATACGACGTGAAAATGGGCGGTGGGTCGAGGAAATTCATGGGCGGCAGAATGCAGATGATATGTAGCAAAGACAGGCGGATAACGTAGGGAGTTGAGACGAATATGGATGGTGATGGTAAGGACCATATTGATGTAGGAGCAAGATGAGTGTGAGGAGGGGTGATAAGGGGAGGAGGAGGTAGAGGAGGAGGAGCTCGAGGAAGAGGAGGAGGAGGAGAAGAGGAGGGGGAGGCGCAGAAGGACGAGGAGGAGGTGGAGGAGGTGGACAAGGAGGAGGAGGAGGAGGAGGAGGAGGAGGAGGAGGAGGAGGAGGAGGAGGAGGAGGAGGAGGAGCGGGAGGAGAACGAAGCTGATGGGTAGGATCCGAAGGCGGGCGGGGAGTGGAGGAGAGAGGCTGAGCAGGTTCGGAGGGGGATCAGGATGAGGGCGAGGGATATATATATATATATATATACACATATATATACATATATAAATATATACATAGAGAGGAGGGTGTTTAGCCACGAATGAGAGCGTCGTCGCCGTCGTGACCGCAATCGGCGCTGTCGCTGTCCTTCTCCTCCTGCCCCTCATCAGCTCAAGGGATCGTCCTTCGCCTCCTGTTCCCTCTCCCCTTCTCGACCTCCTTGTCCTGCTCCCTCTCAGGACTCCACCTCCCTGAAAACTTGTCCCCTTTCTGCTCCTCCCTCCCTCCGCCCCCTCGTCAACAGCATCATGAACCTGGACCCTCCCATGGTCAGCCGCCTGGCGAAGCAAGTCGAGGAGGAGCCCGTCCTGACCGCCGACGCCAAGGCTCTCATCAAGACGTCGGCTATGGGTGCGGCGACCACCAAGAAGAAAAAGGTCATTTAGGAGGAGGAGGAGGAGGAGGAGGAGGAGGAGGGAGGGAGGGAAGGAGGGAGGGAGGGAAAGTGGAGAACCTTTGCAGAGGAGGAAGAGGAGGAGGAGGAGGAGGAGGAGGAGGAGGAGGAGGAGGAGGAGGAGAGGAGAAGGAATAGGAGGAGAGGAATCGGAGGAGGGGAGGAGGAGGAGGAGGTAGAGGAGGAGAAGGAGGAGGAGGAGGAGGAGGAGGGAGGAGGAGGAGGAGGAGGAGGAGGAGGAGGAGGAGGTGGCGGAATCTGGAGGAGGAGGAGGAGGCGGCGGAGGCGGAGGGGGAGGCGGAGGAGGAGGAGGAGGAGGAGGAGGAGGAGGAGGAGAGGAGGAGGAGGAGGAGGAGGAGGAGGAGGAGAGGGATCAGGAGGAAGATGAGGGAGTAGGGGGACGGGGGAGGATGGGGTGATGATGAGGAGAATGGGGAGGGACGTGGGAGGAGGTTGGGTGATTGGAGAAGAAGAAGGCGGAGGAGAGAAGTGAGGAGGAGAGGGAGGAAACGGACAAGAGGAGAAGAAGGTCATCTGCTTCTGCATCGACAGGACGTGGAATCCGATCCTTGAGGCTCGGGCGAAGGCAGAACATATCCTCGCTGTCCTCATGTACTCCCTGCACCCTCCTCTCCCTCCTCATCCTCCTCACTCCTCTTCGTTGACCTCCCTCTCCTCCCCCTCCGCCTCCTCCTCCTCCTCCGGGTTCCTTCCCCTCCTTGCCTCTCCTCTCAATGATCCTCAGGACGCTTGTTTGCCCAATGTGAGAGTGTGTATGTGTGTGTGTGTGTGAACACGCCCAGCTCCACCGATAGCATGCAGTCTCTGCGGGCCCTCATCTCACCGCCTGCGTCGTATTGAAGGGCGCCTGTTGACAGGGCACACGCTTCCGTCGTGAGGGCCCTCGCTCCTCCTGTCTCGCCCTGCTCTTCCGTGCAGCGTGCCCGCAAGGTTCCGCCACCTGTGGCTTCTCGCGCGCCCCGCCGCTCCGCCCAGGGAGCGCCCAGCCCCCCAGGCCATTCGGCAGGCATTGGTAACCACCGGCCGTTGCACGTAGGTATTTTTGGAATCCCAGATTCCAATTTACTCGATGCGCCTTCCTGCTCCAATGATCGAGTGGCTTCACCTTTTCCGCCCTCTTTCGGGGGCGGGCGGACACCCAAGCTACTCTCAACGCCTTCCTGCTTCATGCCTCTACCTGCTTCTTCCGATTGGTGGGTCACGCCAGGGGGGCGGTTGGCCCACGGGGGGAGGGGAGGCCTCGACCCCCGTTCGCCCACTCGGCGACGATCGGGGCTGTGCCGGCCCTCCCCCGCCCCCCCCCCGCCCGGGCACGTGCGGCGGCCTCGCCGTCGCCGATCGATCCGCAAGGCCATAGCCGATTCAAAGTCAAGGTCCCCCCCCCGAGCCAGTTTCTCCCTGCCGCTTCCCCTCCGCTCTGAGGGGAGGAGGGGGAGGAGGAGGAGGAGGAGGAGGAGGAGGAGGAGGAGGAGGAGGAGAAGGAGGAGGAGGAGGCTTACGCCACGGGCGGCGCGCCCAGCGGCCTGCGCAACGAAGAAAGGAGAGGAGGAGGAGGAGGAAGAGGAGGAGGAGGCGGAGGAGGAGGAGGAGGAGGTCCAAAGGTGGTTCGCCGCTTTCGGGCCCTCGACGGGCCCAGGGACCGCCGACAAAGAGCAACTCGGGAGGAGTCGCTGGTCCCGGGGGGCATCCTCGGGGCGTGGCACCCGTTCCCCTCGGGACCCCATCGTGCCATCGTTTCGGGGGCCTGGCACCGCTGAAGGCCGACCTGTGCGCGTGCGTGATCTTTTCTGGTCCCAGGGGGGGGGGGGGGTCCACAGCCCTGCGGGCCGACGCCACGACCAAACAGTTCGTGCTGCGGGATGTCGGGGCACGCAGGTCGAGCGAGTCCCGCGCTCGTGCCCGCACCCAGAGGGGGGCAGTGTGCCCCCCCCGCACCCCCGCAGTACACGGCTCTGTGGACGGCTTGTTGGGCCAGGGGCACCGTGCGCGTCGCCGTTCGGCGCCTCCTTTGCGCGGCGCCAGCCTTGAACGCGCAGTTTTTGCGGCGGCGACCGTGTGGCCAGGGTGTCCCGCTGCAGGAGTCGTTCGGCCGTCCGCGCCAGGGCGCCCAACTCCGCAAAAGCGACTCCACTGGCACGCAAACACCTCGGCCGGCACCCTCGAGGTGTGCATCAGCTCCATCTGCACCATCATCAAGGACCACGTGAGCGAGGACGACGTGGTCTGCATGTTCGGGCTCGGCACGGGCTGGCTCATTCAGGGCCAGGCCTGTGGAAGACGACGAGGGGGAGGAGGACAGCGTTGGACAAGATTGCAAGTTGGGCCATGACGACGACGACGACGACGAGTTGGACCAAATTGCGCGGCAGAGGATGTTCGTCGAGCTCGGGCTCAGGAAGCCGCCTCCGGGACCGTGGAGGTGAGACCCGTGCGGCAGAAGACCCCGGACAGCGGTGCGCAACCACGATGGGGGGCAGCCATGGCCACCGGTTTCGAGGGCCCCGGGCTCCCTCACCTGCCTGGCATCGCTCGGACGTGTGAATTTCTCTTTTGGCGAGGACAATCGAGGAGCATCCTTAATCATTTCGCGAAAAAACCAGGCACGAAACCGAAAAAAACACAGGGAATGGACGTCCGAGCGATGGCGAGCCTGGGCGTTGGAAGAAACACGTGCAGAGCCCTTACAGACAGGCTGCCTATAGAGAAATACAAGAAAGGATGAGAGCGCTGCCCTGGGGAAATGGTCGGGAGGTCCAGGGCTGGCAGCCAGGAACATGTCCGTGTGGTCGGAGATCTGCGTCGGACGCGGAGGAGGAGGAGGAGGAGGAGGATGAGGAGAAGGAGGATGGTAGGAGGAGGAGGAGGAGGAGGAGGAGGAGGAGGAGGAGGACAAGGAGGAGAAAAAGGAACAGGAGGAAGAGGAGGATGAGGAGGAGGGAGGAGGAGGAAGAGGAGGAGGAGGAGGAGGAGGAGGATAGAGAGGGGCGAGGAAGAGGAATAGGAGGATAGGAGGAGTGTCCAGGCAAAGGTCGGCAGCGGCCAGATGCTGATACGGCAGGTCGAGGCCGCCAAGCAGGTCAAGGGCAAGTGCCAGCTCTACAAGGGGATGCTGGACACGCTTGGCCATCTGTCGGGCCATCCCGAGGACGTCAGCAAGTGGCTCGTGGTGCTCACCGATCTTGTGGACCTGGAGGGGTCGAACCCGAGGTTTCGGTACACCGCGGTGAAGAGCGCCGTCGGAAGCATGAGGAAGGACAGCACGCTGGCGGTAATCGACACGTCCGCAATCTCAGGGTGGGAGCCGGGGGACAGACGGTGGCCGATCTTCAGGAGCAACATGCGCGACTTTGTGCAAGAGGCCTTGCTTCTGATGCCTGTCCTGTTGCCGCTGCCGCTACTCCTCTCTTTTCATGGTGTTGTATTCCTCTTGCGTTTGCGCTACCATGAAGTTTGACACGCTGCGGCTGTGAGCCACTCAGAAGGAGTCGGGAAGGAAGTGAATGGGTAACAGGCAGACGATGTGCCCAAGAGAGAGCATCGGGCAACTCACCGGATGCCTCACGATTGAGCAGTCCTTCAGCCCGACCAAATGAAAATGCGAGTGTCGCGGAGCATGACGGCCAGAACCGCTTTCGACCCCATCTTCGGCCAGAGTTCCTCAGCTCCGCGGTCAGCGGCAACGTTAGCGGGGGCTGGGGGGGTGATGCCTCGACCCCCAGTCGCTTGTTTATCGCCGACAGGGGCCTGACAGCCACCCCCGCCCAGGAACGTGACAATGCGCAATCGAGGGCCTATCGGCGCTCCATCGTGGCCGACTCTGGCTCGGTGTCTCCCCCGTGAGTCTCCCTAGCGTTGCCCCTCTCCTTGGCGGGGGTATATTCGTAATCACCTGGGGGATCGATCCTCGGGCCGTGAGGCCGTCAATTTTTCAGATTGCCGCTACGGGGGCGAGCCGTGCTGCCTGGGCCCCGGGTGGTACCGCCCCGTCATGCGGTGTGTTGCCAATGACGCTCGCGGAGGCAGCTGCCCGCCACACGCGCAGTCCTGCATTCCCTTGTGCGGGTCGCGTGTGGCGTTTCCCCCCTTTTCACTTCTAATTAGGTGCGCGCGCCTGAGCTGGGCACGGCGCCGCCGAGGCGCTTGACCGCTCGCTCTTCACGCGCGTCGCAAAAAGAAAAAGGGACCGATCTCCGGGGACCTCGGCAGGCGGTGGAAATGGGTCCACAGTCGAGACCCCTCGGGGCCCAAGTACGGTCGAGGCGTTGATTTGGGCATGTGCCCAGGAGGCATCAGACCCTGGACGGTTCCTTACCTGGTGAAGGCGGCGGTGATGTCCATGGCCAGTCCACGATTGGAGTCCCACCAGCCTCCAGACCCTGGACTCTTGACGTCCAACGCCCCCACTTTACCCCGAACGCCCTTCACCAGAAAATTCTGAACGGGCTTGGACCTGCGAAGGAGGGGCCTGGAGCGATCCACCCTTTTGATTGGAATGCCGTTAAGGAGAGCGGATGTAGCTCGGAATGAGCGATTCTGCTTCAGACGTCGTCAATTTCTGCCCGGTTTGGCATCTGTTTTGGCCTGGTTTGGCCGCGCGTCCCGCCGCAGGCATCCTCACATTCGGCTTGCGTTGGCCTTTGGTTTGGCCTGGTTTGGGCCCGGTTTCTCGGTTCCTCTTGAGACGTCCTCCGAGCTGTTCTGGTTCGGCCCTGTTGGGGCCTGATTTGGGATCGGTGTCGCTTGTTACGTCGTCACAGTTGCCTGGCTTGGCCCTGGTGTGGGCCCAGCTCCGCTTGTGGTGGGTGTGTAAGAGACTGAAGCAATGGCACCGTGCGGGGTGAAGACGCAGAGTGTGGTCCACAAACAAACAGAACGATTGCGCTACAAAATGACGGAGCCAGCGTGGGCACCACCAACACGCTGTGAATCGGCATGGGCGCGTGTGGCGGCGCTGGGAGAAAACATGTCCAAGCCCGTTGGGGACGTAGCGGGCCTGACTTGCCTTTCGTGCGCGTGCGCGCGTACAGCCGTAAACGCGCGCGTGGGGCCGTAGACGGGCCAGAGGCGAAGTGGGAAAACCAATTGTAGGAAGCCGTGGTTCGTGGCCAAACCAACTTTAGGAACGCGTAGTTCGTGTTTTCCTACAAATCGCTGTGTCGTTTCTCGTTAGACACATTCGTCGATAAGACATGTAGGAAATGGTGTCTCGTGTTCTCCTACGTGCGGTGTTGTGAGAGTTCGGTGTCGCAAGAACAAGATTACCAACCGCACCGTTCACCAAACACGCCGTCAGCGCGGCTTTGGCGGGGTGGGGGCGGAGGGCGAGGACCGCGCCCGAAGGCCGCCGCAGGCGTCGGAGGCCTGCCGAGGACGCCCCGTGGAACCCTCTGAGGATGCCGCGGGGCGCTCCGCGACAGGGCGGCAGCCTCTCGCGGGCGCGTTGTTTAACGACCTTCCTGTGGAGCTGGGTCCTCGCTCTGAAGTTCGCCGCGCCGCGCGTCTCCTTCCCTCCTCTTTCCTACTCCTTCACTCTCCTCCTCTTCCTCCTCCTCCTCACCCTCCTCCTTCTCCTCCTCCTCCTCTTCTTCCTCCTGTTTCTCCTTCTCCTCCTCGTCCTCCTGTTTCTCCTTCTCCTCCTCGTGCTCCTGATCATCCTTGTCCACTGTCACATCACCACCACCATCATTATCAGTATCTTCACAGTTTCGCCACACCCTTCACACGCTTCGTGGCCCCATCGGGAGCGCTTCCGAATGCCCCAGCGGCAGCGTTCGCATCTCGCCCCCTGGCCATTTCGGCACACCCCTCACACGTTTCGTGGCCCCCATGGAGTTCCACCGGCGGCCCTCGTGGCAGCGTTCGCATACACCCCCCCGACCATGTCGGCACACCCCTCACACGTTTCGTGGCTCCCAGGGAGCTCCACCGAACGCCCCATTGGCAGCGTTCGCATCTCGCCCCCCGACACTATCGGCACACCCTTCACACGTTTCCTGGAGCGGCCCTGCTCTTATCGAAGAAGAAAAAACCACATAAACATCAACATGTGGCGCTCCGCACGGATGTTTTGAATCCGCGCTTGGCCTTCTGGCGGCGATTCCGGCGCCGCCCTTGGCGCGATCCGCGCGCCAGGGAGGGAATTCCAGCGCGAATCCAAGAAATCCGCGCGGAGTGCCAAACGTTTATGTTTATGTTTATGTTCATGTTGTTATTTTTCTTCTTCTAGAGAGGGTGGGGGGGGGCAAGAGACAAGCCCAGATCTCCGAGCATCTGTTTTTGTTCCATCTCGGCGTTCTTCCTAGCTGTTCGACCTCTGGGCCCCCGATCCATCGGCGACGCATCGCCGATTTCAAGTCGATATGTGCCCCCACCCCACCTCTGAGCTGGTCCACCCCCTGCCGTTCCCTGGGGCCCGCTGCTGCTTTGCCCTGTCAGGATCAAGCGCGGGTCCCAGGGATAATCGACCGAGCGAGTCGTTCTTTGGCGCCCCCGCGGCCTGGCAAGGGCCCCCGGGGGGCCCGAGCATCGCCAGGAGCCTCGCGCCATGGTTTTCTTGTCGGCGGGGGCCCTTGGCCGCCCCAGCGTGCATCGGAGGCCACCGCCAACGGGCACGGCGGGCACCTCCTGGTGGCCAGCGACCTCGAAGCCCTCGCGGCCAAGTTCCAGGAGGTGGGCGCGATGATGGCGGAGGCGCCCCGCACGGGGCCGCCGCCCTCTCCCATCGGGGGCTCCACGACCGCCCGACCGGACCCCCTTCGAGCCCCTGACCCGCATGGTGCTCTCGCGCCCGTGCCTTTTCCGGTGCGGTAGGTTTGCGCCGTGTCGACCGGCGGCGACCCCACCGCCGGCGTTCGACATTGAACGCCACCGGCGACCCCGAATCGGTCGATTTTGAACGATCCGACTCCTCGGAAACGGCCGATCGTTCAAGGTCGAACGATCCCCGCGGTGTCAGGAACCAACGCCGGGGTCGACACTACACGAATGCGCTGTAGGGCGATGTCAAGCCCGTGTCTTCCTCAGTACGCGTGGCAACGTTTCACCCCTGCTGGGGCTCGTCAGCACTCGAATAAAAATGGCACCGGCACCCGAACACAGCAAGCGCATGAGTGATCCAATGCTGCCCACAATGTTGCGGCAGACAAAAACACATGCAACCTGTATTTCGCCGAGCGCGTTCCACTACTCGCAAAGTGCCTACTCGCTAACGTCCGAAGGAAACAGGTCTTCCTCTATGTAATCAGAGTGAGGGGGCCGAACGGTCATTCACTGTCCCTGGGTGCGTGGCTGAAGTGGGATTCCGCGTTGCGGATTCTCGTTGTGGTTGTTGTTGTTGTTGTTGTTGTTGTTGTTGTTGTTGTTGTTGTTGTCGTTTTTTTGTTGTTTGTTGTTGTTGTTGTTGATGATGTTGTTGTTGTTGTTGTTGTTGTTGTTGTTGTTGTTGTTGTTGTTGAACATTATTAATTCTAAAGAATAATTATTGTTGGGCCCCCTGGTGCACGCCCCCCCCCCGCGCCTAGGCCGCAGCCACATTTTCATAATTTTCGTGAGGAAGTCTCAGGTAAAACGATGTCATCCAGATCCGGTTGTTTTGTTGACGCCCGCTTTCCCTGTCAAAAAACACTATAAAATGACATGTCTTGTTCTAACATAACCAAACTTCAAGAATCCTTTCTGCAAAAAATGACACGAAGTGCACACTCGCGCGCGCAAGCTGAAATCCTTCCAAAACCTTAGTTTTCGTAGCGATTTTAACATAAAAACATGAAAAACCCAATGGTTTTTCAAAAAAAAAGTTTCAAAACATCATCTTGCGCGCTCTTGCGGATTTCTGAGGAAACCCAGTATTTTTTCAACATTTCTGTCAAACGGGCTCTTGCGAACAACTTTTTCACGTGCTTCGAACTTCTGCAACAACGGTTGCGCGCATGCCAGGGCCATCATCCCTGTCAAATAATACCATATTGGACACATTCGTTTTTTCTTCGCGCGCGCACGCCGTCGTCGTCGGCCGCGGGGCCCTGAATAGTAGCCACGGTCGTCCGCATGCCACGAAGTGAAGTGTCCGAACGTCATAGGGCGGGACGCTGGGTGTGGGTGGTGGCGAAGAGTCGTATGGAAATTTGGTAGAGCTTGAACCGGCCCCCCCACAAAGTGGGGGTATTGCCCGCCTCCTATGAAAACCCTGGCACTGGTGAGAACGGAGTGTCCCCAGTCTTAAATGATTGTTGTTGTTGTTGTTGTTGTTGTTGTTGTTGTTGTTGTTGTTGTTGTTGTTGTTGTTGTTGTTGTTGTTGTTGTTGTTGTTGTTGTTGTTGTTGTTGTTGTTGTTGTTTGTTGTTGTTTGTTGTTGTTTGTTGTTGTTTGTTGTTGTTTGTTGTCGTCGTCCCACCCGCAACCCGCCCCGCGACCCACCCGCGACCCACCCCGCGACCCACCCCGCGACCCACCCGCGACCCACCCGCGACCCACCCGCGACCCACCCCGCGACCCACCCCGCGACCCACCCCGCGACCCACCCCGCGACCCGCGACCCACCCGCGACCCACCCCGCGACCCACCCCGCGACCCACCCGCGACCCACCCGCGACCCACCCGCGACCCACCCGCGACCCACCCGCGACCCACCCGCGACCCACCCGCGACCCACCCCGCGACCCACCCGCGACCCAAACCACGTTCAAGGTACAAACCGCCATTTTCGGCGCCTGCGGCGGGTTTTTTTGAATCCCTTCCAGGTGGAGAGCCCGCGACCCACCCCGCGGCCAACTCGCGACCAACCCGCGACCCAAACCACGTTCAGGGTACAAACCATATGTTTCGGCGCCTGCTGCGGGCATCTTTTGCCTTCGTTTCAGGTGGACAGCCCGCGGCCCACCCGCGACCACATTCAGGGTGCAAACCGAATTTTTCGGCGCCTGCGGCGGGCATCTTTTGCATTTGCTCCCGGTGGAGAACCCGCGGCCCACCCGTGACCCATTCCACGTTCAGTGTGCAAACCAAATTTTTCGGCGCCTGCGGCGGGCTGCTTTTGCATTCCTTCCAGGTGGAGGTGGAGAGCCCGCGACCCACCCGCGACCCAAACCACGTTCACTGAAGAAACCAATGCCGCACAAGCGCGGCGGCGGATTTTTGCATGCCGTCTGAGCCCGCAACGACCTCTTCAAGCCCCGCGCATCCACGCCAGCCCGTCCAGCAACTTTGCCCTGGCGAGTTGCCTTGATCAGAGAAGTCGGGGAGCATAAAGTGGAAAAAAGGATTGCGTTGCCGTTATCTTGGGAAAGGAGGGGGAGGCAGGAGGAGTAAACAGGGGACGAGGAGGACGCGAAAGAAGAGAGGATGTAAGGAGAATGTGGAGAAAGAGGAGGAGGAGGCAGCAGGAGGACGAGGAGGGGGAGGAGGGGGAGGAGGGGGAGGAGGAGGACGAGGAGGGGGAGGAGGGGGAGGAGGGGGAAGAGGATGATGATGGACGACAATGGGGGGACGATGATGGAGGCCGATGAGGGGGTGGACGACAATGGGAGGACGATGATGGACGGACGAGGGGGGGAGAGGGAGGACGAGGAAGAAGAGGAGGAGGAGGAGGAGGACGAGGTGGAGGAGGAGGGTGACGATGACGATGACGACGAGGACGAGGACGAGGAAGAGGAGGAGGAGGAGGTGGAGGGGGAGGAGGAGGCGAGGTCCGTCGGCTCGACGACGCCCGCGTCGCCCGCGCCCGCCCCCTCACTCTTACCCGCAATTGCGGGGTGCTACGTATATCTGAAATCCCCCGCGGCGGATCTGTGCAAATTGCGAATCGTTGGTTGCGTTGCGAATCGTGGAACGCGCTCGTCCAGTATTGGATCACTGCAGCTCCTGCCGCTGGGTCTCCAGACGGAGACGAAGCAGATCACGACGAACGGTTCTCTGCTTTCGCCCGCTCTCCGGGGGCCCTCGCAGAGACCATGGGGCCGTTCAAGCACGACTTGGGATTCAGTCGGGCCTGTCCCTTCACAGTAGGAAAAACTCAAGAATTGTCCAACAATATTCCAGGGACGATTCGTTTAGTAATCGTTTGAACATGGTTCGAAGATGTTTTGACCATGTTTTGGTTTTTCGTCCTAAATCCGCCTGTAGGGGGACATGCCCGACCTAAACTTAGGATGAAGATCCGGTCGCGGGAACAGGGTCGAGAACTTCAGGGCCCCGCGCTTTGAGGAAAGTCGCGTTGTCGGGATCCTGGGGCTGCCTCGCCCCTTGGGCGGTGCAGCTAGTGACTCGTAGAGCTTCCCTAAGAGCGTTAGCGGCGAAGCTAGAAGCAGCTAGAAGAGTAACTCGTCCAGCCAGCACAAGAGCGCGCTCTGGCCACGGGACTCTCACGGCGGGTCTGGGCCGTTAGCAGCAGGGGGCTTCCCAGTGGCCCAAGGCGCGCGCCCAGGGCCCTCCATGGAGGGGCGGGAGGTTCCCAGAGTCCCGGATCCTCGAATGGAGGCCCTGCTGGCCTGCCGAGTGCCGCCGATTCGACTTCTCCCGACGTGGCTGCCGCTTCCCGCCGATGCGATCCATTTCGATCGCCGACCCGACGTGTCGATTCGATTCCAGGCTCTCCCGCCTCCCTCGTCGTCCTGCCCCTCCTCCCGGGGAGTGCAGGGCGGGCCTGCACGTCCGCGTCCCAGGTCTCCGGCATCGGGAGAGGGGCGCTCGCATTTTTCACGATCACCAGCTTTGGATCGGAGAAGAACAAACAGGAGCATGCGCAAGAAACAAAAGGCCAAAACACACACACACTGACACACACGCACGCACGCACGCACGCACGCACGCACGCACGCACGCACGCACGCACGCACGCACGCACGCACACACACACACACACACACACTGACGCACACGCACGCACGCGCACGCACGCCCGCACGCACGCACGCACATACAGACACACCCACCCACCCACCCACCCACCCACCCACCCGCCCGCCCGCCCGCCCGCCCGCCCGCCCGCCCGCCCGCCCGCCCCCGCCCACCACACCACACACACACACACAACACACACACACACACACACACACACACACACACACACACACACACACACACACACACACACACACACACTGACGCACTGACGCACACGCACGCACGCGCACGCACGCCCGCACGCACGCACGCACATACAGACACACACACACACACACCCACCCACCCGCCCGCACGCACGCACGCTCGCACGCACGCACGCACGCACGCACGCACGCACGCACACACACACACACATACAATCACACACACAATCACACACGCACCTTCGGAGGTCCATGGGGGTCTTTTGCATCTGCGCTGGCCCCCCCCTGAAGAGTCACCTCCGGGGCGGGGTTCGCCTCAAGAGACTTCGCTCGTGCTGGTGTTCTGTTCGAGGGTGGAATCGGCGTCACCCCAACATACTAATACCATGTGTTACTCTCCCCCCAGGGGCGACGCGCGCGCCGAGAAATCTGATAGTCTATGCTCCGTGGCGGGCGTTTTCTGGCCGCACCGCTCGGGAAACGATATACTGTAAGATGGTTGTGCTACACGTGCGGGTCGGACACACACCTCAGAGGAGGACACACAATCCCTGACATGTCCTTGTGCAGCCCTTTGAAAGGCAGAGTCACCCCCGTCCTGGATCAGGAGCGGCTCCGAGGATGGACGCAACGACCCCTCAGCGGCACATTGATCGCCGATGTGGGGGCCGACAGCCCGCCCCGCGCAAGACCTTTGCGGTGTCGGCGGGGCCGACCGCCGATTTGTCGATGCTGCACCGCCGACTCCCGCTTGCCGTTCCCTCCCCGGGCCAGTGTCCCCATCGTTCCCCCCGGCTGGAGGGAGATCGGCATCACCGCAGGCGTGCGTGCGCATCGGCAGCGCAGGGCGACTCGCGCGCGCTCGAGAGACCGGATCGCACATCCTCGGTGGCGGACGCTGTCTGGCCCCTGATGCCCTGGGGAAGGATGAGGACGCGCTTTGAGATGTCCGTGTCTCTGGCGCGGCTCGGGCATGCGCCTCCAAGGGAGGCGCAGAGTCCTAGGACGGTCGAGGCAGGGCCACGAGTACCAAGGACGCGGATCAAGAGCACAAGACCCTTCGCCGAAGGCCGAGGCTTCCGTGGAGATGCGAAAAGTGAAACAAATCCTGAGGTGGGGAGGGGGTAGCAGCAAAGAACATAAGGGCACCCCTCCGAGACCAAGGTTGTCCTTGGCCTTGGTGCCAACTTTGTGTCCCTCTGCACCCCCGCGAACCGCCCCACGACCCGGACGCGAGCCACCCGCGGCCCTCAGGCCAGCCCCTCTCACTCTTGTCCGCACGTGCAGGGTGCTACGTACTAGATGCGCGGTAAGGACGTGGCGCCCTCAAGGGAGGCGCACACGGTGGGGGCAGGCGTTCGTTAAGGGATGTGCCCAGGAGGCTTCAGGCCCTGGATGATGCCTTGCCTGATGAGGGTGCCGGTGGCATCCATGGCCCAGCCTCAGTTTGTGTCCCACTGGTTTTCAGACCCTGGATTTCTGATCACCAGTCTCCAAGCATCCCTTGCAAAAGCGAGACAGAGTCGAGACACGCGCGCGTCGTCGTGCTCGCATGCCAGAAGTCGACAAAGACCTCAGGTTTCGTGAAAGGATTTCGAGGTCGAGGTTCCCGCACAATCACTGAAGAGGCCAGGGTTTTGCAGCATGGCTTCTCCAGAAGAAGAAGTCTGCGCCCCAGGGGGAAGGGGCGGGCGATGGGGCGAGGATCGGCCACGCGCAGAGGGGGGTAGGGGGAGGGGGGAAGGCTTCTTAGAAGCGCCCCTGCCTCTTAGAGGGCGCGGGCCCTGTCTGTAGACGTAAGGCCGGCACCTTCTAAGAAGCAGCCTCCTTCTAAGAAGGCTTCCCGCCTCCCCCTACGCCCTTGTGCGCGCCGCGAAGAGGAGCGTGGCGAGCGCCCCCCCCGCCAGCCCGCCCTCGGAGGCGGACCTCGGCGAGCACCTCTGAGCCTGCTGCCCGGGCCGGGCCGCCCGCGCGCGGTGCGGCGGCGAGGCCCCGCCCGTGCCGCCCGCGGGGCGGCACGAGGAGGTGTGAGGCCCGAGTGCCCCGGAGGCCTCAGACCCTGGAGGACTCCTCCTCCTCCTCCTCCTCCTCCTCCTCCTCCTCCTCCTCCTCCTTCTCCTCCTGGTCCGCGCTGCGAGCCGTGCTGGTGCGCCGCCGTCGTGGCAATGGGCGGCTCTCAAAACGCTGGGAGGTGGGTGGACGACGGCTGGCCGCATACATATCATGACGCCCCGGCCCTGCCTGTTCGGCTGCGAGTGCGCGGCGGACGACATCAGGCACTACCTCGTGTGCAGGCGGCTATGGCACTGGGTGGCCCTGCCGCGCTCCTTCCTGCCGGGGCCGCTTGGCCGCCTCGGGCTTGGCAGTGCGGCCGAGCATGCGGGCGAATGGTCCCGGGGGACTGCCCTTCGGGGGGTCGTGCTGGCTTTCCACATCTACCACCTGCACAAGAAGTTCTTTGACAAGCACGGCCGTGTCGTCCCCTTCGACGCGGCTTCGGGGATCCGGCTCGCGGCCCTACATCGACTCCGCGACCGCCGAGTGCCCGCTGCGGCGTCGGCGCAGTCGTCCTCGGCTGCGGCTGCCCCCCAGCCGCCTGCCCAGCGCGACGCGCCGCCCAGACCCGGCGGCTCTGGCAGCGGCCCCAGCGTGCACAAGACAAAAACGGTACCTCTGGAAGGCGCCCCGGGCGCGGGTGCGGAGGGCGCCCTCGCAGGAGGCCCAAAGGGGCCTTGACAGCGGCCGTGGCGGCCCCGCCGGCGCGCTGGCACCATCGACTGCGACTTCACCGGCGGCGGGCCTGAGGGCTCGGTCGCGTGCGGCGCGCCCCTCCGCGGCCGTCGCCTGAGCTTGTGGACGCGCCCCCTCGGCTGCGTGCACTCCTTCTCCTCCATCTCTCCCCTCCTCCTCCTCCTCCATCTCCTCCTCCTCCTCCCCCTCCTCTCCTCCGCGACACGGTCAATGTCATGTGCCAGTGGCTGGAGCGCACGCTGACGTGGACAGCGAAACGCTCGGCCCTCCTGATGGGCTTCGACCTCAACGTCTCGTTCGGGGCGCGCCAGCTGCAGGGCCAGAACACCCGAGTGCAATCTCCAGCGTTGGGCCCTTTCGCCCAGCACCAGCAGAGGTATGCGGCGGACCAGGTGCTTGAAATCTTCGAGAAGCATGCGGTGACCGTGGCTACCACGTTCTTCAATGTGGGCGACACGTACTTCGGGCATAAGGGGTCGAGCTGCATAGACTACATCGGGGTATATGCATGGCAGCTCTCGCACGTACGGACTTGCATTGCGTTGCGAAGGAAGAACCTACGCTTGAAGCTCAACCTGCAGAAAGGCCTGCAGGACCACGTGCCGCTACTATTCAAGCTCGATTACGACTTTACATTTCGGGTCCGGCAGGCGCCTCCCGTGCGCTGGAGCTTTGACAAGCTCGCGGCAGCTCTCAAGCATGGACAGGGCGTGGCTGAGTTTCTGACCGATCTCGAGCTGCAGTTCGAGGGGGCAGGCGACTTCTACGACATGACGCTGCACGCGTCGTCCCCAGATGCTGCATGGGAGCGCTGGATCCCCATCGTCCATGCCGCCGCAGCTCGTCACTTTGACTGCCGACGCGAACAGGATCAGGAGATGCTGGACCTTGCCGCCGAGCGAAGTCGGCTACTTCGAGAGCGTCGAGATCAACGTGAGCGAGGAGACGGCGGCGACGAGGCAGGAGTTCAGCTTGCTCGCTGCTCGCGACGCCTTCGTGCCCTTCGTCGGCGTCAGTTCGAGGTCGTCACGACTCAACTTGTGGAGGAGATCGGGGTGGCGTGGAAGCGGCAACGCCATGCCGAAGTGTGGCGCTTGGCTCACGCCCTTGCAGGGCGCTGTGGAGGGCCTCGGCGACGCCGCTACAACCTCGCGGAGACGTTCGTGCCCCGCGCGTCGGAGGTCTGCGCCCACTTCAGCGGCCCAGGCCATGCTGGAGGGTTTGCTGCAGTGCCCGTGGACTTCATGGAGTACCAGCAGCAGCTGCTGGAGGACTTGCCGCCGCCCGCGTCGATGGGCAGCGACAACTACTTGCGCGTGGAACAGGCAAGAGAGGATCTTGAAGAGGTCGTGGAGCTGGCTGCGAAGGCCCCGAGGCGCAAAGCCGCCCCTCTTCACTCGGTGCCGACGGAAGTGCTGATGACGGTGCTGGACCCGAACAGGCGCTTCGATGGCAGTTATCGCAAGCCTCGACGACGTGGCGAAGAGGGTGCGGATGACGAAGGTGAGCGTCCTCCTCCTCGCGCCGAGTTCATCCCTCGGCATCGTGTTGGCACGGATCGACGCGGCCTGGGCGTTGTCCCTCAACCGGAGGCGATCTCCAACAGGTACTCCTACCAGGCGCTGCAGAAGGTCTTCGCTCACATTCGGAGAGTTCAGCGAGCACCCGTGGTCTGGCATCACTCCCGTGCGACGGGGCTCGACAAGCACAACCACAAGGACGGCTTCTTTGCGCGCCGCTACATCCACGGCCTGTGCAGGATGGGGGCTCTCTGGTTTAAGGCACAGCTCCGTCGCGGGCCTGCGGATGAGGTGCCTGCTCGTGAGCACGGATACTTGCGCGGCCGCTGCAGGGAAGGCGCGCTGCTCTGCCAGGAGGCCCTCTTGGGCCGCCTTCGCCAGGCAGGCGTGTCCACGGTGACGGCGAAGGAAGACATGGCGAATGCGTTCGGCTGCACCGCGTTCTCTTCGTTGCGAGAGACAGTGGAGCACTCTGTTCGGGCTGATGTTCAGTGTTACTTTCATCGGCGGCATGAGAACAGCACGTTCACCGTGACGGCCGCGGAGAAGGAGCAGACCATGCACAACCTCTGCGGGGCCTTCATGGGCGACACGCCAGCGGCGGTCTTCTTCGCCAGGTCCTTTCGACGCCCCGTCCAGCAGTGGCTCGATGCACTTCGGGCTGAGACGTGGGCAGGCGAGCCCCCGCCGCGCCCGCACTCCGACGAGGAATGGCTGGATCAGGAGCTGGTTCCGCCCGCGCCGCCGTCCGCCCTCGACGACGTGATCTGGCCGAATGAGGCGCTGTGCACGGCATGGGTCCCCATCCTGCAGCGCGCGGCGGATCTCCCCTGTCGCATCTATGCCGACGACACGAGCAAAACCCACATCGTCACGAGCGCGCGGAACGCGCAGTTCACACTCGAGCGTGCCCACAGTCATCTGCGTGTGGCTTTGTCCTCGGATGGATATGTACACAATGAAGAAAAAACCGTGTTTCCCCCTCGTTTGTGGGGGCTGGTGCACATGCCCACAGCTCCGAGACCTTCGGGGGCTCCGTAAGGCTCCCAGGCAAGGTCCAGTTCGACAACGTTGCTCTGGGGATTCAGACGGCCACCAACGGTGGGACCCAGGGAGGGCTCAAACGCAGGATTCTGGCGGCCCGTCGCGGCTACTACTCCATGGGGCGATTCTGGGCGAAGAGCAAGGTATGGAGGCTGACGAGGGCGGTGTTCGGAGCGGTTGTCCAGGGAGCTCTCCTGTCGGGATTGGGTATTCTTCTGTTATCGGAGGCGCAGGGGGCTCGTCTTGATCGTGTTCTGGTTGGTTTTGCTCGGAAGCTCCTGGGCGGGTCGGCGTGTGCAAAAATTGCTGTTCAGGACTCTGAGGGCAACGAGGTTCTCGATGAACGAGGCCACCCTCTGCTCCGGTATCGGGCTCTCGAGGATGAGGTCGTTCTTCGTCGTGCCGGAGTTGCTGCGTCGGGAATCGGGCTTCGTGTGAGACGGCTTCGGCAATGCCGACGCTGGATTGTTGACCCTTCCTCTCACCCTCAGGAACTTGCGTTTCTTTTCGGACAGCTGCCGCTCGACTCCGCCCCCACGATCCTGGATGATGGGTACCTCTCGGCCTCCGCGAACCCGTGCGCGGTCCGCTTTGCTCGTGACGTGTGGGCCCTGGTTCGACGAGCTGAGCCTGATCTCCTGGAGCAGTGGCTTTTCTCGGGCCCGTCCGCGACCCCCCACATGAGGCTTCACATCAGGGCTCTCTTCATGGACCCCGACCTGCGCTCCCAGTATGTTGCCCTGGACCCAGGTGTCCTTCGCGCAGCTCCCCGTGCGGTTGCAGTACCACCTCCTGCTGGTCTTTACGGACCTACTCCTGAAGCTCCCGAGGTCCCCCCTCCTCCTGAGGCGCCCTGGCAGCGCGAGCTGAGGGGCCACGAGGGGCACGTCTGCGGCAAGGTCTTCGGCTCCCGAAAGGCGCTCTTGGCACACCAGAGGTTCTCAAAAGATGGAGGGCATGCGTGCAGGTCCGTGGTCCACTCCATTGTCGCGACGAACGAATGCATCTTCTGTGGTTTGGGTTTCCGCGCAAGGCGAATTGCACAGGAGCGCGCAGTGACAGCTGTTCTCAAAGGTCGATGCCCTCCCCGCTCTACTCCGCCCCATCACATTATCGAAGAGCCTGAGAGCCTGTTCTGCCCCATGAGTGAGATCCCAGTGCGCTCTACCTTTGGTCATATGTCGGAGTTCTGCCGCGGCCGCTCGGAGCCGTTTCGGAATCGAGCCGAGTTGAATTGCCACCTTCGTCGTGCTCACGCTCCTCGCCAGCCCCTGGTGTGCACTGCGGCAGTTGTTCCGATTGACAGAGGAGGCAGTGCAGGCGGCGGCGGGCCGCTCTCGCTCCAAGGGGTCAGGAGGAGGCGCGCGACGGGGCCGCTCTGGCTCAGTGCACGCTTCCCGCCAGCGTGGAGGCGGGCGCCGCACAGGAGGTGGCCGCAGCCAGCAGCGTCAGCAGCCCCAGCCCCGACCCGCCGCACCAGGCGGCAGGGGTCACGGCGACGCAGCGGGTCGCGCGGCGCGCCAGGCAGTCGGCAAGAACTACGGGCTGGCCCCCGATGCGATCGAGAAGCTCCCTCCCATGGACGTGAACACGATGGCCAAGATAATGCCGATCCTGATGCGAGCAGTGCTGGGCAACTCCCACCAGATTCGCATGCTCATGGCAGCCGAGTTCGTGACGATGACGATGCCAGAGGAGCTGGACATAGTGCAGGCGGCCTTCAACGCGGGAAAGGCCTACGCCGACCAGGCCGCGAAGCTTCGAGAAGATCACCGTCAGGATCCATGGAAGGCGCTGCCCGAGGTGACCATGGGGCCCGCCTGCGTGCAGATCTTCCTGGCGGTGGCGCGCAAGATATCGAGCGCGGGCGAGTCCGTCGGGGCCCGCAACTTCAAGGCCTGGCAGCTGCACCAACAGAAGCTGGACGCCATTCAGGAGATCGACGACCTAATCGTTCTGGTGAAAGGATTTCGGATGTCGAACGCATTCAAGGAGGGCGAAGCCAAGCTGACGTTCGCCCTGGCCGACCCAGACATGCAGCGGTGCCTCCAGTCCTGCGTGGTTCAGCTCGGCGGCGAGCTGCGCCCAGGGATAGCCCCGCGCAGCAACTCGGAGCGGGTCCTCCAGTTAGCGCTTGACGAGATGGACCTGTGAGGAGACGCCAGTCGCCGTGGGGAGACCAGCCACTGCAGGATGACGTGGGCATCGTGCAGGGGGCTGGGACGAGTTCAAGTGTGATTGCAAGTCAGGAGCGGGTATCCAAAGTTATTTGTGGTGGGGAGAGTCAGCGAGGGTGGGTCGATTGTGCTCTTGCTCGATATGTGCCTACCGCTAGCTCAATGGGAACGTTCGTGGTGCCGTGGTGGTCCAGCGGGCCGCCCTCTCGCCTGTCGCCGCCGCCTCCGCTCCCGAGTCCCTCGTCCCCGACGGTGGTGCGATCGCGTTTTCGGAGCCGGCCGCTCTCGGGAAGGAAGCAGACTCAGACTACGTCGATGAAGGTGCAAGAGAGGTGGCAGAGAGGTCAGCGGTCAGAGAGAATTTCGGCACGAGGGACGAGTGAGGGCGGTCGTACGGTGATTGAGGCCAGCGCCTCTGCTGCCGCTGCTGCTGTCCATCCATCTCCGCCTCCTTCGATTCCTCCCCCGTCGAGCCTCCCTCCTCCGCCTCGCTCCCGCTCCCAACCAGTGCCCCTGCAGAGCCTCAGTTTCAAAGATCTGGTGGCGTATGCCAGTAAGTTTTAGGTTTCTCGGCCCCTGGTCCGCGCGCTTGACCTCGGTGGTCGAGCGAAGACAACTCGGGGCTCCCACCTCCCCGGGGGGAGGATACGTGTTTCGCTCTTTGAGCGCCCAACAGATCACAGGTTAGGTCGTGCCCAGCCGCCCGCTGCCTGCCGTTCGTTCGAGTTGAGCTGACGAACTCTGGTCCAAGGTCGATTCCGCCGCCGCCTCCTCTTCCTCCTCCTCCTCCTCCTCCTCCTCCTTCTCCTCCGTAGCCATTTTGGCTCAAGCCTGCCTGGGGCGCCAGGCGGGCGGCTGCGCAGGGTCCGTTACCTCTCTCCTCTGGGGGTAGCGCCTCCCCTCACGCCGCGGCCATGGCCCCGAGCGCGGCCACGGATCCGCCCTCCTCTCGGGGACCTGGTGGCGACGCTCGCCGCTGTGGCTCGGGCGGCGGCGGCGGGTGCGGCCGAGGGCGGTGGCGGACGGCAGTGCGTGGCGGCCGCCGTCGCTGCAGCCCTCCGCACTGGCGCCATGCTGCTGGGCTAGAGCGAGCACGGCACCACGCCCCAGGAGGCGGTGAAGGCGGCGCTCCTCGACGAGGGGGGCCGGCTGGAAGTCTCGGCGCGGCTCCAGGCGATCGAGCGGGCGTTGATGCTGCAGGCTGCAGGTCTCTGGGCGGCCAGTGCCTGGAGCCATGCGCCTGGACCGCAACCTCGCCGCCCACGTCGAGCTCGGAGAAGGCGCCGGGGTGCTCGGCCTGCCCCCCATGGAGAAGGTGGCGCGCCGACGCGGACTCCATCGAGACAGCGGACGTGTCCGAGCGGGCGGACATCTCGGACCAGACGGACTCGACGGGTGGCTCGCAGCGCATGGAGATGGGCACCGAGAGCATGCAGTCCCAGTGCAAGGACACCGATGGCGGCAAGTTCCTGCTGAAGAAGGCGGCCATCAAGGAGATGCACTGGGAGATTTCGGATCTGAGGACGGAGTTGGCGGCCGAGGCGGCAGCCAGAGCCGCGGCGGAATCCGCGGCTTCCGAGGTCAACGGCACGGTCGCAGGGCTCGAAGCCGAGCTTGAGGCCGCGAGGGCGGCACTTACTTCGGCGACCAGGGGCAGCTATCACCTGGCGCAGCAGGTCGTGGAGCTGGAGTTCAAGCAGTCGGAGGCGGAGCATGAGAAGATGAGCCTCCGAGTGGCGTTCGCCGACGCCGATCGGAAGCTGGACGAGGTGAAGAGTGACGCCGCCGCGGCCTGCCAGCAGGCCCTCGAACTGGCGGAGAAGGTGGCGCGTGGTGGGCGCCTCGCCTGGGCGGGCGTCGAGACCGAAGAGGGCGTGGAGGCGCTGAGGTGGGGGCCCTCGCTCCGGCCTGCGTGGTCCGCCTCAGAAATTTTGGCTGGTCTGCGGCTTGCGCTGGTGCGCGTGCCCGCGTCCCTCCCTGGGGGCGGCCTCTGGAGGCCGTTGATCGCCCGTCCGTCCCTGCGGGGGTGGCTTCCGCTCCCCGGGCTTACCCGTGGGGCAGGTCAGGGTCGTGAGGGATGCTCGTCTGGGCGTCCTCGGGGCCCTTCCCCGCGTCTCCCCGGCGTCCGCGGTCACGCGCGCGCGGCGGCGAGGATTCTCTGCTTGACGTCTGGGGCCCTGGTTGTTGTCAGCGCGCTAACGGCCGCCAGGGCCTTTTGATGACGTCCCATCCATCCCTCCTCCTCCTCCTCCTCCTCCTCCTCCTCCTCCTCCTCCTCCTCCTCCTCCTCCTCCTCATCATCATCATCATCATCATCATCCTCCGCCTCCTTCTCCTCTTCCTCCTCCTCCGCCTCCGCCCCCGGAGGCCTCAGACCGTGGAGGATGCCATGTCTGATGGGGGCGGCGGTGGTCTTCATGGCCAAGCTTATGGTGTTCCAGCATGTTTTAGCTCTGAGCACCAGGAAGATCTTCCAGCACCGAGAAAGTGCCGACACGTGAGTGTTTGCAAGTGTCGGGCCCTGGGGGTCGATGTTCGTTCGATACCGTTTCGATACTTTTCTGGGTGCTCGAAATTATTTTTGGGATGTGGTCTTCAAGTACCATGGGCGCAACAGAAGGCCAGTCCACGATTGGAGCCCCACCTGCTTCCAGATCCTGGAATCCTGGTCCAGGGTCGGGGACGCGTACGACTCGAGTTCGCTGGATGTTGGGATGTTGCCGTCGCCTTCTGGCGAGCCCGTCCTGGATTTGCACGGCCCGGTGTCTTGAGAGAAGTTTTTGCAGCGGGAGCTCGCGTCAAGTTTCGGAGTGGATCTTGTCATGTCTCGAACGGCCCAGCCAGGTCAGCTCGAGTCCTCCAGACTCGAGTCTTACGTATCCCCGATTGGTGGGCGCGGCGCGTCGGTCTTCCGCCGGAGGAGCGTCGGCCTCGAGCCTGCCAGAGCTTCCGGGGAGCAGCGGATTCCATGCCGCTGCTCGTCTTGGAGAGCCCTCGGCGCCACGGTTGGATTCTGCTCGGCATTCTGCTCAAAGCGCACCTCGCGAGAGGCCCAGGCAGTGGCGGAACGTGTACTTTTCTATCCCCTGGAGGCGGGGCTGGCCGCCGCTCTCTGAAGGCCTGGCGCGATCTCTGGCCGTCCGGCTCGTGTGGGGCGTCCGCAGCGGCAGGGCTCGCGTCAGCTCTCAGATCGGGCCCCGTCATCGTGCCGGCGCCCCCGTCGGGCACGGTCGAGTCCTCCCATCGGGGGCGGCCAAGAGGGGGGTGATGACTAGTGGTGGGTGGATCTCATGGCGGGGGCCACGATATCTCATCAGACTTCATGGCGCCTCTTCTTCTTTCAGTACCTCCCTGGCCATCCCCCTGGGCCGCGCACATGCCGCCGGCCATGATATGGGCACCCCCTGTTGGACACCCCCTTCTTGGCCGCCGCGCCGATCCCAAGGCTCGGGTCTCACGTTGGTATGCTTCGAAACAGAATAAGCACCACAAACATAAACATAAACAGGTGGCGCTCCGCGCTGGTTTCTCGGATCCGCGCTGGGCCCCCCAGCGGCGCCTCCGGCACCGCCCTTGGCGCGCTCCGCGCTCCAGGGATGGGGGTCCGGCGCGGATCCCAGAAATCCGCGCGGTCCTCCAAAAGTTTATGTTTCTGTTGTTTTGTTTCTCCTCTGCTGCTGGCCGTGGCAGTTTTGCCGCGCTCCGCCTGCGATTTTTTTTAACACATCAAGGGCGGCGGGTCCGCGCCGCCTCGACGCGGCGACGACTCTCGGCGCGGGCGTCCGAGGCAGGGTCGCGCTCTGGGGGCCATCCTTCATGAGCTGATTTTCCGCCACCACCACCATGGGTAACTAGGAGGGAGAGGAGGAGGAGGAGGAGGAGGAGGAGGAGGAGGAGGAGGAGGAGGAGGAGGAGGAGGGGAGGAGGAGGAGGAGGAGGAGGAGGAGCGGAGGAGGAGGAGGAGGGAGAGAGGAGGAGGAGGAGGAGGAGGAGGAGGAGGAGGAGGAGCAGGAGCAGGAGGAGGAGGAGGAGGAGGAGGAAGAGGAGGAGGAGGTCCTCCCCGTCCTCCCTTCTCCCCCGTCCTACCTACGGCAGTGGTGTTTGCAAACTGGCTCATCAATCCTCGGGAGCCCACGGCGTGAAGTCCACGGCGAGTGCTGTGGTCGACAGCATCGGGCGTGGCCTCGTCGTCCTTGGTTCTGCGGTGGCAGGGGCCAGTGCCCGAACCTGCGGAGGCCGTGCTCATAATATTTGCTATCACCCGCAAGGCTAATAAAGAATTGCCGTGCTTCTTATAATGCATGTTACCAGCGGGAAATCTAATACAACCTTTGCTGCCTTCTAGCTCTTGACGATGGCTCGCGCTGGAGTGTCGCTGGGCGTTGCTCGGTTCCCTGTCGAGCCTACTGCGGTTCTTGTTCCGCAGCGATCTCCTCCAAGAACACCGAACAAGGCCGCGCAAAGATGCCATGTCGCATGCAAGTGGGTGCAGAAGTTCACCCCGAGCTGTGGCGATCTTTTTTGCGCGTCGCGTCGTTTTTAGCTCGCTAGTGTTGCACGGCCGAGATGTGCTCGTGTCGCGCGGCCCTTGTTCGAGACAGCTCCTCGTGACGAGGAGCGGGGCCCTGCCAGCCGGACGACGCCGAGGGCGGCGACGACGACGACGACGACGGCGACGACGATGACGATGACGACGGCGGCGACGGCGTCGACGTCGACGACGACGACGACGACAACGACGACGACTTGTCGCGCTGCGGCCTCGGTGCAGAGCGGCCTTAGTGCTGTCGGCGCTGCCCGCGAGTCTGCGCCAGAAGGGCGCCGTCCCCAGGCCTTACGAGCTGGGCGTTCCGGAAGGGGCCGCGCCTTCGCCAAATCGGGGGGCGATCTCTTGGGGGAGGGATCGAGGGCTGCAGGAAATGGGCCCTCCTCCTCATCCTCCTCCTCCTCCTTCTCTATCTCCTCCTCCTCCTCCTCCTCCTCCTCCTCCTCCTCCTCCTCCTCCTCCTCCTC